ATGTGGGATCAACATATAAATCAAGTACAAAAATCAAATGAATATTCATATTTGACCTGATTGTTTATAGGTGATAATGCGTGATCAAAACCGAAAGTTTCTGTGATGAATTCCCTTGTACTGTTCACCATGTAAGAATTTATTCACTATGTAAGAATTCATTCACCATGTAAGAACTTGTTCGTTATGCTTCAGAAGATTGGAGACTGATGAGAATTAGGCTTGAGATGGATTAATGATTGTACATTGAGCATTGACCCCCCTATACTGAATTCTATTGTTGTTAACAACCATTTGATCAATAAATATGAGAGATGCCCTCTCAAAAAAAATAAAAAAATAAAAAAAAGAGTAAAACCAAAAAAAAAATATTTATAAGAAAGTGTCTTTGCAGTGTTTTTATATTTCTCTTTCCAAAACCCATTTTAAATGTAACTTAGAGTTAAGTATTTATGGTTCTGTGGTTATCTTCAAACAAGTCTCTAACCTACCTGATCACCTTAGGAAACATAATATGAATTTATTTTTGGGTATCAGGGTGAAGCTACATGCTTACCTGATTTTAGGACAAGTTTTTTTGTTTTCCTTAGTCAGTGTACAAATTAGTTAATATCACTCATTTGCCAGAGCCATCAGTTATTTTGGAGGGAGACATAAACAACTTAGAAAACATTTCAATAAATTTTTATGATACACTACTGAAATATAATTTATGTAGTTTTTACATTTCCTGTAGCTTTCTATATGTGAATTAATCTTTGTTTTACTTTAGGACGAGGCCGGTACATCTTTAATAATAAGCCGTAAGTTGGCTTGTAATCAAACGGTTGAAATGCCTGAGGACAACAAAGCTAAAGCATATTCAGGAAGAAAAAGATTAAGTGAAAATGATCTTCAACAAGATGAGCCCCCAGCAAAGAAAGGTGCTACTTCATTTGCCAGCAGGAAACCTTAAAAAAGCTAATTCCTAAAGCAGTAAACAGAAAAGTTACAAGTAGGAGAAAATTTTCTGTCTGAGGAAAAAACCTGAGGAAATCTAAACATCTCCGATTCTTATTCTAACATGTGATCAACTGACTAGAGGATGGGCATATTTAGAGCTGTCCTTTATTTTGATAAATGTATTTTTAGATATTGTGCTTTTATCACTTTTGCACGCCTATAATTTTTTTACTTCCGTGCTTATAATGGTTATAACTTCCCACTTCAATTTTCATAATTATAGTTCCCCTTTCTGTAAAAGTCTCTCCACACTGTTTTCTTCCTTTACCTTCTGTATTCACTGGGAGACAAGGACATTTGCAGGTAAGACGAGCTGAGTATTACTAAAGACAAATGTGCTTGAGTTGTGTTTACCACATAATTACTAAAAGAAGTGGATGTATATGCTGTATCTCCCTATTTATGTGGAAGAAATACCAACTTTTACTTTCTAAATTATTCATTATTTCTTTTGGAAGACTTCTGTGGCCAGATAAAGGGAGATAGGGCTTTCTAACAGAATGATATATTAGCTTTAGAAACCTATCTAGCTGCTTAACCTTGAAAAATGGACGTTTTAAATTACTAAATAGTAATTTTACTAAAATAAATACCTTCCTCCTGAGGTTGTGAAGGATGAAAACAATTGGGTACTATACCAATATCATAAGCACCATAGAATCTGAGCAAAATAATATTTTCAAAAGTAGATGCCTTAAAAGATAGTAGAGCATCAGATACGTGGTTTGTGGAATGTACAGTGCTTGTGTGAGCTAATGGATTGAGACTAATATGCATATGCTTTCTGTCATCCATTGAAGGAGGGGTGTCTTTGCTCCTGGGAGGATAACCCTGCTGTCATTTCAATAGCATTGATCCTCTTTTTCGCCTTGGTTAGTGCCATAGATTAGTTGAGAATGTAGGTTCAGTAGATCACTAGGAAGTGGAATTGGCTTGGAGCAAGTGATGTACACAGTGTGACTAATCCTAAGGGTACCCATTCATGCAGAAGATTATTTAAGAGCTATAATTGTTAGCCGTAAATAATTGGATGTGGGAAGATAAAAGTAAGTTTAAGTAAAATAAAAAAAATTCTGCTTAAATTGACAACCACTTTGGCTGTTTCTAAGTTATTCATGTTATTAGAGCCTAGAGATTACATATGGGATCATGCGGAAATTACAAATATAATTATCCTCTTTCCCACCTACCTACTATTAAAAAATCTCTGGAACAAAATATGTGACTCCTATAACCACTGTGATAGGACCAGAGTGTTGATAGTTATCATAGGATGCATGTTTTCTTAAAAGGGAGTACAAAGCCATTGCTATAGACAAACACTTTAATTTCTCCCTGGCAAGGCTGTCCTGAATATGTTCTGTAAAACTTTTGACACAATAAAAACCTATGAAAAAATTGTATGAATATCTGAAAAAGAAAATCAGGTACAAAACAAATTTGATTGATTTACCTTGTATTTTATAATTATTTACAATGAAATACAGCAAATTATGAGAAGATTTCTTGATCAAAAAAGTTCGGTTGAACTTTTCTGTGTTGACTTCGGGGTTTAGGGGCTATATCTATATAATATGCATGACTCAGATTTCTTCACTCAAGAAATTCAGGGTCTATTTGTGATTGTTGTTTTTACTTGCTGAGTTCTTAATCTCTCTCTTGATGAAAGGTTCAGACATTTTTATAACTTGTCTTTTCAAAAGGCAAGAGGATTCTTCTTCCTTTTTTTTTTAACATTTCTAAGTTACGAAAAAAATCCAGGACTCTTAACATCATTGTGTAGTTTTCTTGATTAGTCTTTTCCATGATGAAGTCATAGGTGTAAAAATAGCATACTAAGTAGAGAATTACATTGGAAGGTAGAACAGGAGTCTGAACCACTGGAGAAGACTGGCTTATTCCACAAATAACCGAGTTATGAGGTGAGTTCCTTTGTCAAAATGAACGTTAAGTTTTAGTAGTGCATCTATTCTGGACATAGCTTAATCTATACCAACTATATTCTTGTATTTGTATAACATTTACAAAATGTTTTAACATATATATTAGCCAGTTGGGCCTCTTAACACTATCCTGTAGGGAGGGTAAAAATACCTCATTCTAGAAATGTATATACTGAGCCTGAAAAGGCAAAATTTTATTTAGTTTTAATAGCTGAACTCTTCTGTAAATATTTTTAGGTTCTAAAATGCCTAACTACATCTTGTGCCCAATTTTCTAAACTTATTTATTGTTTTGATCTTCACAATAACTTTGAGATAGGTGATTTTATTTCCATTTTACATTTGAGGAAGTATTTATAGGGTTAAACAGTTTATTGACAGTTAATACAGCTAGTGAACGGTAAGGCTATGTTAGACTTACCAGAATTTCAACCATTTTTTCCCTAATTTCACCTATGAAAACTTTAAGGTACTCAGTTTTCAAATCACTAATTTAGTATATCTATAATAATTATACTTTTAAACTGTTCTTTAGGATTTGGGATGCTTGCCTTGGGGTGTCTCAATGAATATGATCTCCTTCCCTCAGAGGTAGCTACCATCACTTTGGTGTACTGCTCCTGCTAACTTTGCATTAACTTACAGAGCTGTAATTTTAAATGGGCTTATGTTATGTGTTTTGCAACCTGTTTTTTCTTTTTTACTTTAATCGGTTTTTCACTGAAAGTTTGCTATCATATGTTTGACAATTGGCATGTATGGTAGCTTTTTGGTTCTACCAAGGATCGCCAAATTAATAATAATTTTATTTTTAAAGGACCTATACATATTAGTCCAGCTATCACTGAAGACCAGATGAAAAGTGAAGAAATGCAACAGAGCATCTCAGAAGAAAAGGAAGACAGAGTTTTACAAGAAACTAATGAAGAGTCAAAAACATGTTTACTCATTGCTGAGAGTGAACTTAAAAATGAAAATGAAGAAAAAGCAGCATCAAATAAAAAGATTGTTAGTTTGCAGCAGGAAGTTTCTTTTTCTAAAAAAAAGATTGTGGCTTTAAGTATAGAGGTCCAAAATATGCAGTCAAATTATGATAATGTAACTTCTGAATTACCTGTGCAGAGAGGTATAAATCAAGACCAGGGGGAAGAGATCATGAAATTGTCAAAGGCGATAGAAACTGCTAGAAGAAACATCACCACAGATAATGTTTCACAAATGAAATTAATGAAGCAAAAATAGATGAACTGCATATGCTTGATTCAGTTTCTTAGATCTCAAAGAGATTTACTCAATCTCAGGGATCTGTCAGGTGGTTCTCAGGAGGATAACTTGCCAAATACATGGTTACATCTTTTGGATTATGATTATTTGGTAAATAAGCAGGTTCAAGACTATCATATTCAGGAACTCAGTAGGGAGAGTGCTTTCCACTCTAGTATTGAAGCTATTTGGGAAGAATGTAAGGAGATTATAAAGGCCTCCCCCCCAAAGAAGTCGCCAGATCCAAGAACTGAAACAACAAATTGGAGAATTACAGGCAGAAGTAAAAGGCTGTAAGGATGAAAACACTAGACTAAAAACAGAAGAGAGGGAGAAGAAAAATCAAGGTGACCTACTAAAAGAAAAAGAAAGTCTTATACAGCAGCTGGAAGAAGAGCTGCAAGAAAAAAACATTAGTCTTGAGGTTCAAATGCAGCATGTAGTTGAAGGAAAGAGAGCACTTTCAAAAGTTAGCCAAGATGTTTCTTGCTATAAGGTGAAAATAAAGAAACTTGAGACAATCTTAGAAACTCAGAAAGGTGACCGTGTCATTCCGCCAAGTTAGAACACGAAATTTTGGAAAAGGAATCAATCGTTTTAAAGCTAGAAAGAAATCTGAAGGAATTTCAAGCAAATCTTCAGGATTCTATCAAAAGCACCAAAGATTTAAGTAACAGGGAAATTAAGTTGAAAGAAGAAATTGCACAATTAATAAATAATTTGCAAGATGCAAAACATTCACCTCAATTAAAGGAAGAAGAAGAAACCAATTGTCAAGAAACAGAAAAGTAAGATAAATGTTAATTAAAATGTTCTAAAATATGCAAAAGCATGTCATTGATTTTGCTGAGTAACTTAAATAATATAGGTGGGCATTGGGCATAACTTAATATGTTAAAATGTAACATGTATGATAAGTAAAGAACTTTGTGCATATAAACCTTTGGAACCAAAAGATAGATGCAAAACAAAGATCTGTTTATAAAAACATGCTAAGTCCTCTCTGAAGTGTTCATTCATGGTGTAGACATTCTGAATTTGTGAAAAGATAATTTTGTAGATTGTTACTAGTTTACACATGTGATCCTGAGTGATTTGGTGTCTTAATATAGAAAAGTGATTTTGTAGATTGAAAAAGGGGCTCTCTGCAAGCTCTGCTATTACCCAGAATCCGAAAGCAGATCTTCAGAGGAAGGAAGAAGATTACGCTGAGCTCAGAGAGAAATTGTCTGAGGCCAAAAAGCAGATTGAGCAAGTACAGAAAGAGGTAGGTTATTTGAAAAATTGTGTGGCCAATTTAAACAACAAATACTGTTTTCCTTATATATCAAGTTTAGATACTAATTTTAGGACTGAACAGAACGTTTGTCAACTCCATTATTTTTCTTAAAAATGAGAAGCTACTTCACAAAAGAAAATTTTATCACGTCCCGCCACCTAGGGCGACGGCAGGAGAACGATCACCGAAGGCCTGGTTCGTTAGGAATCTTTATTATGGGCGTCCGAGCATCCATCTAGCGAAAGGCAAAAGCAAAAAACAACCACCACCACCACTTCCTCCAGGGCAACAGCTTATATAGCATATCCCAATCAATCAGCTGACTGATCACGTGCCAGGTTCAGTCTTATTGGAAACATGTGAAAAGCATGCTATGAGCATGAGCACGGAAATGGGGAAAAGCCAATCATGGAGACTTCCTTATGCGCTGAGCTATAGGGCCAGGAAGGGTGGTGTCTAGGAAGCAGGCGCCATCTTTAGGGCGTTGTCCAGCTAGAGTGGGGCTCAGCCTCGGCCGTAGGCCGGGCCCCCACATCTCCCCCTTTATTGTTTTATAACCAAAGGGCTGTCGGGATCATGCCTGTCTTAGTTCATCTGGAGTCTGCGGCATTCTTACCCATCCTCAGGCAACAGACAACTTAGGTCTGCGCCCTGTCTTAGGTTGATATGCGCAACTCCCGATCTTACCGGTCCTTGACTACTGATCCAGCATATTAAGCCATACTCTAGGGGAGATGCCTTCCTCTAGCACTGCCATGGCCTGCAACAGGACCTTCCGTTCTCCCCATTGCTGTTTTTGTATGGAACAGACTTTCCTTCCAAGCAGGAGGAGGCCCACAATTAGCAATATTCTTATGACACCTACACCTGACCAGGCTTTGGTGGTGTTTAACACAGCTTCAGCTATTTGAGCTACAGAGAGCATCTCTACCTTCTTGAAGCTAACATTCAAAATTTCTAACCGTAGCTGAGTGGTGAGCTCGTCAAGCTCACTGGACCAATTTGTGGTTAACATCTTGCCTAACTGTCTGGACAAGTTGGTAGCTTTAGAATAATTATGGAAAGGAATACCAGTAATACATCCCCATATAAGAATGGACGCAGCCTACAGACAAAACCTCCCCCAAGAGGTCCAATTGTTCTTGAAGAAGGTTCATGCATTGGTTGACCAAGGCCATCCCATTCTTAAAATGGCCGTTGATGACGTTCTGCATTGTCATTGCAGAGGCAGTGGCCTGGGACAGACCATTCAGCGTCTCTGCCGTAGGAATGGTGATAGTCAGCGCGGCGGTGGCTGCAGCTGCAGCAGCCACCGAGGTGGCAATGGCCAAGGCAATGGCTGCAGAGATGCCGAAGTCTCTCTTGTACCGGGAGTGGCAGAGGCCACACCTTCACCACTCCCCACAGCATTCTCGGCTCTGCCGTCGCCTGCTGTAGGATCCACGGCAGGAGCAGAAGCAGTGCTATCATCTTGTACCTCCACTCCGGGGCTTTCCACTCTGCGTATCAGACGTTCAGGCACCCAAACGGGGTTCTGCTGGTCCTGTGGAAAAACACAAACCGAGCCTCAGGTCCAGATTATCACTGGGTCCGGGCCTTTCCATCTTCCTTCCAACACATCCTTCCACAAAACTTTAGGCATGTGTTTTGGATTGGATTGTTGGCCGTGCCACTCTGCTGTACTGCGGCCATTTTTGTCCAGTGTTAAAAAGTTTAAAATGAATAATATGATGTTTAATTTGTCTCTGAGGGATCTAAAGTCTTCTCCTATTCCCCCTTTTTGTTTATATAAGGCATTCTTGAGGGTGAGGTGGGTGTGTTCCACCATACCCTGACCCTGAGGGTTGTAGGGATAGCCTGTAGTATGTTTGATGTCTAGAGTTTTGACAAAGGTAAGGAATGGTTTGGATGAATACGCTGGCCCATTGTCCATTTTCAGATGCTTGGGCTTTCCCCAGGCTGAAAAAGCTTGCAAACAATGGGAAATGACATCCCGAGATTTCTCCCCCGTGTGGCAGGATGCAAAGATAACACCTAAGCAGGTGTCCACAGACACATGAACATATTTCATCCTGCCAAATTCGGGGATGTGAGTGACATCCATTTGCCAAATGTGGTTGGGAAGCAATCCTTTTGGGTTAACCCCTATGGGGGTAGGGGGAAGAAGCGATACACACCACTTGCAGCTGACCACTATGGCTCTCACCTGTTCTCTAGTGATATGGAACTTCAGGCGGAGGGTGTTGGCATTAGCGTGAAATTTCTTGTGAAATAGATTGGCCTGTTCCGCAGGGTCTGTTACCACAAACATAGTAGATTCCCTAGTCAGGGAATCTGCGCGATGGTTTCCCTCGGGGAGGGGCCCCGGAAGGGAGGTATGAGCTCTTATATGTCCAGTGAAAAAGGGGTCTGAACGGTCCCAAATTATCTGCTGTAGGTATCTAAGAATATTTAGGATGGATGAGGAGGGGTTAATGTGACCTGCGCACTCTATTGCAGAGACGGCATTCACTACATACTGGCTGTCTGATAGAAGGTTAAAGGGTTCCTTTGGAAAGAGCTCAAATGCTCGTATCACTGCCAATAGTTCTGTCTGTTGGGCCGAGGTAGTCGTGAACTTGAAGGTCCATGAGCCATCATCAGTGACTATGGCCCCAATGCCAGTTTTAGAACCATCAGTGAACAGTACTCTTACTTTAGGTATGGGTTTATGTCTGGTGTTTCTCGGGAAAACAACTGGGTTAGACAAGCAAAATTGTAGCCACGGATGCTTTGGGTAATGATTGTCAAAGGAGGCTTGAGAGACGGTGTGTACAATGGCCCATGTGTCACAACAAGAGGCAAGGCACTCTAACTGTGTCGCTGAGTATGGAGTTATGATAATAGAGGGCGCTATTCCAAAGGTTTTGACTGCCACCTTGATTCCCTTGAGGATTAAGTCCGCTATAGACTGTGGGTACCAAATCAACGTCTTTCCTGGTGAATGAGCTAAATACACCCACAGAAGGGGTCCCTCTTGCCAGAGCATGCCTGTGGGGCTATGATTGCTGGGAAGCGTAATAAAGGAAAGAGGTTTCTGATAATTTATTCTATCCACTTGAGCAAGTTCTAAACGGGATTGGATGAGTTCCAATGCCCTTCTTGCCTGATCAGTGAGTGAGCGGGGTGATGTTAGATCTGGGTCACCTCTCAGTATAGCATAGAGAGGTCGGAGCTCTTCATCAGTAAGCTTTAGGTAGGGTCGCACCCAATTTATATCACCAAGCAGTTTCTGGAAATCATTAAGATTTTTTAGGTGATCTGTCCTTATAACTATTTTCAAGGGTCTGGCCAGGGTGCTTTCTAATCTCATTCCTAAATAACTCTTGGCACTAGTCTTCTGGATTTTTTCTGGGGCTATAGCCAGGCCCCATTTTTGGAAGTGCGACTGCAAGAAACAGAGACCTTGCTCTAGCTCCCTGCTGCTCTCATGACACAAAAGGATGTCATCCATATAATGATAGATGATCATGTTAGGAAACTTTCCTCTGACAACTGACAAAGCCTTACTCACATATAGTTGACACATAGTGGGGCTATTGGCCATTCCCTGCGGTAATACTCTCCATTCATAGCGCTCATCTGGGCGGTCATGGTTAATGGCAGGTATGGTAAAGGCAAATTTGGCACAATCTTCAGGGTGAAGGGGGATAGAAAAGAAACAGTCTTTGATATCCACAACTATCGTTTCCCAATCCTTAGGCAGGGCCATGGGCAGTGGCAAACCCAGTTGTATTGAGCCCATAAGCACCATCTGCTTATTTACAGCTCTAAGGTCATGTAAAAGCCTCCACTTCCCTGTTTTCTTTCTTATCACAAAAATAGGTGTGTTCCAGGGGGAGGTAGAGGCCTGAATATGCTTGGCAGCAAGCTGCTCCTGTACTAAAGTGTGGGCTGCTTCCTTCTTCTCTTTAGTAAGGGGCCACTGAGGAACCCACACAGGATTCTCAGATCGCCACTGAATCTTTATTTGCTGTTCTCCTTCAGTGGCCCCAAGGAAAAACCCAGCCCAGGCCTTCCAAATCGACTGGGCGTAATGTTAGACAAAGGAATGGGCTTTTCTCGACCTGACAAGTTCTTCCCAAGTCCACCTGTCCCGGGGTAGCCCTGTCTTTTCATAATGCAGTTAGACTGTTTGCTGTAGAAAGTTTCCGTGGTCAATTTGAGATTCATTTGGGTTAGTACATCTCTTCCCCAGAGGGACACGGGTATGTTTAGCACGAAGGGTTGAATTATCCCCTCGTGCCCTTCTTGGTCCATCCAAGACAGTGAAGCAGCACTACATAGGGGCGCTTGGGCTATCCCGAGTCCTCTTAAGGTTTGTGCAGCTCGATTTAAAGGCCATTCCTTCGGCCATTCATCTTCCTTTATGATACTACGGTCTGCTCCTGTGTCCAGCAATCCTGAGAAATGCCTACCTCTGATCTCTAAGGTGTGCATGGGCCTGGTTCCCAAATCCAATGTAAGACAAGCCAGCGGAGCCCCAGAAGACCCAAACCCTTGCTGTCCTCGAACAGCATTTTTATGAGCATACAAATCATGTTTGCTAGGAAGCATAAGAATTTGAGCAATGCGATCTCCTGGGCTAATAGCCATGATTCCTCATGGGGAGGAGACCATAATTTTAACTATTCCTTCATAGTCTGGATCTATAACTCCTGGGTGTACTATTAACCCTGCTTTAGTAGTGGAGCTCCAGCCCAATAAGAGACCCACTACTCCTTTTGCCAAAGGTCCCTTAAAATCTGACTCTACAACTTGAACTCCCATCTCGGGGGTCAATACGAGTCTGGTGGCGGCACAGATGTCCACTCCTGCGCTTCCTGCTGTTGCTCTCCGTGATCCCTCGGTGCTGGGTGAACTCCCTGATCTGTCAAAGGGTGGTGAGTTCTGGGTATCTGTTGAACCACCCCATACATTTGCGGGCCCTGAGGTGGAGGGCCCCTCCTCCTGTTTTTTGGCTCTTGAGG